AAATATAAATGATTTTTAAATCAAATAAAAGGTGATGTAATTAGTTCGCAATGCTTCTGCTTCGTTCACTCCGAACATGGCAATGCTTGTGCTCTGATTAGTGAATTTGTTAGTTTAATGATCGTCTGGAGGTATTTGCTAACTTAATTGCATTATTGTTTCCAGTCTGGGGAAGGAACTGATGCGGTTCTGTTTTTCAAAGCTAAATGATTGTATTCCCACAAGGACTCTATGCTTTTGCTGTTTATAAAATTCTACTTTTATGGGTTTTTTTTGGGTAATAGAAACTGTTAATGTTGAGAATCTTTGGTGTATTTATTTTGTAGATTGCGTCTGAGGGGCTTAAGCACAGAGTGTTTGAAATCTCCCTAGCTGATCTCCAAACCGATGAGGATCATGCCTACAGGAAGATCCGTCTTAGGGCTGAGGATGTCCAAGGCAGGAATGTGCTGACAAACTTCTGGGTAAGTAGCATTATATTGAATGGTTATTGATCTTTGTTATTTGGTGAGAAAATTGTTATATTATTCTCTCGTTTGCAAATTTTAGGGGATGGACTTCACAACAGACAAGCTGAGGTCCTTGGTACGCAAGTGGCAGACACTAATTGAAGCTCATGTGGATGTTAAAACAACTGATAACTACACTCTGAGGATGTTCTGCATTGCATTCACCAAGAGACGTGCAAACCAGGTCAAGCGCACCTGTTATGCTCAGTCAAGCCAGATCCGTCAGGTAAGGATATTATGTTTCAACTCAAGTTATTGATTATTATTGATTTGTTGAAGCTAAATAATAACTTATTTACTGTTCTGTCTTGATATTAGATTCGCCGTAAAATGAGGGAAATTATGATTAAAGAAGCTTCGTCTTGTGATTTGAAAGAATTGGTGGCAAAATTTATTCCTGAGATGATTGGTAGAGAGATTGAGAAGGCTACATCCAGCATCTATCCACTTCAAAATGTCTTCATCCGTAAAGTCAAGATCCTGAAGGCGCCCAAATTTGATCTTGGCAAGTTGATGGAGGTATGTGCCTCCTGACCCTTTATGGAATTTTTTCTTTGTTATACTGTCCAACTTTTTGAAGTTAACATTCTTTGAACCATTTAGTCCCTTTTCTGGTTTCTAAGCTCAATTTTCCATTTAAGAATTCTATAACCAGGAAGTCATGAAACTAATGAAACTAAAACCTCCCAGGTTCATGGTGATTACTCTGAGGATGTCGGTGTGAAGTTAGACAGGCCTGCTGATGAAACAGTGGGAGAGGCAGCACCAACCGAAGTTATTGGAGCTTAAATAGAAGTCTTTTTTTGTTTATCACGGTTTCGTCAGATTTTTACACATGGATTGAGTGATCAAATTACTTGTATCAAGTTTTGAGACAGAGATGCAGTACTAGTAGAATGTCTTAGTAACATTTTCTTAAATATGGGTTCTTTTTCCATTGATTCCTAGCTTT